TATATTATAGAAATTCTAACTAAAACGGAATCTAAAAATAAAATAAGATTACTGACAATTTTAGTATTCTGTAATATTGAAAAATTTAATATTAAATTTTTATTTAAAATTTTCTTTAATTCCCCGCATATAGTTTGTTGCGGTGAACATATTATGTTCACGGTGCCATTTTGACCAATTGAGCTATAAGCAATAATTTTTTTAAAATCAATTTGTCTTAAAGTAGTTAAAGAAGAATATATTATACCTAAAAGTGATAATGGTAATATTAAAGGTAAAAAATAATAAGATCCTTCTGGAAATAAATTTAAAGAATATCTTATAAATCCATAAGTTGCTAATTTTAACATAATCTTCTTTTTTATTGATCTACTACTAAAAAAAGTCATAAACCAATTGGTTTTCAAATAAAGAATTTTAAATTGAAAATAAATTATTCTTTATTTGGTAGATACTCAATATCTTACGATATTGTTAGGACTATATTTTAATAATTAAAACAGTTCTATTTATAAAATTTTTGTAAATGATCCCAATTAAAATAAGTTCTGGTATCATTGATACAGGATTTTATTTTGATAATTTTTTTTATATCATTTTCATTTTTTTTTCTTTGTATATAAAATAATTCTAATACTTTACACCAATCTTTATAATCTAAATATTTACTACTAAACAATGAAAAATTGTCTAAATAATTTTTTAATATTAAATTACCTTCTAAATTTGTAGTTCTAATTCTATAATTAGGATTTTTAGAAGTTACATTAATTTCTTTAACTTTACATAATAAAAATTTACTTATTAAAGACATTATATCAAAATTAGAAATTCCATTATTATTCTTCTGTTTTTGTACTAATTCTAAACTACAAGAAGATTTTAGTAATTTATTAGTTTTTTTATCTATAGATATTCTTACTGAAAAATGGCCATCTGCTTCTATAAAACCAGCTAACCAAGCATTAGAATCTAAAAGTGAATTATCTAAAGGTTTTTTAATAATATTAATATCTTTTTTATTAAGCCATTCAATAAGTTTATATAATTGATAAATTTTAGGTGTTCTCATTTTACTATTAATTAAGGTTACTATTTTTTCTAAACCTTTTTTATCACCGATTATTTTTATAAAAATAATCAGCATTTTTACCTTTTATTTTATATATATTACCGACATTTAAAATTTTTTGTAAAATAGCCACTAGAGCGTAGTCTCTAGTAGGAAAAGTTATAATAATTTGAGGTGTATTAATAATATTTTTAGATAAATAGAAATAACCATCACCTTCTATTAAACCAGCTAAATAAGAACCTAAATAACTATTAATTTAATATTAGTATTATAAATATTCGTTTGTTTATTAATTAAAGTAGAAAAATATTGTTTTTTCATCATATTAATAATTCTAGTATTAAAATTTAATTTAATAGGATGAATTTTATGTATAGAACTGTTAATTATTTTTAGCGTCTAGTCTCTGAGGATCCTATGTAATTTAATCCAAATAAATTTTATTTTGATTATTTTTACCATCGATATTAATCGATAATCAGTTATGATATAGTTTCCTGCTGATTGTGTTTTATTTAAATTATATAAATGAAACAGTTCCCAGCATATAGCTAAATTTAAAGCTGGCATTAGTCTACCAGCTAATATAATAGAACCACTTAATGGTGCTTCAGTATGAGCTAAAGGTAACCATTGATGAAATGGTAATAAAGGTGTTTTTATAGCAAAAGATATAAAGAATCCTCAGGGTTAGGCCTTTTATCTTTTTCAGATACAGCTGGCTTATTTTCTCAGTATTTATACAATCATATATGGTATAAATACCTTATTTAGGTATTAATCTAAAATCCATTACTGGCGAACCGGACCATTTCTTATAATCTCTTAGGACAATTCTATTGTCCCGTAGATGATCATGTGGCGTTTGGCCTCTACGCTTTTACAATAAACTTTTCAGTAAATTGATTTAGTTCGACGATATGGCAATAATTATCACTAATTATTGTCGGTCTCTCGAATTTGCCACGCAGACTTAATTCATAGTAATACAATCATTGTTCTTAAAATTAATAAAAATACTATTCCACAACAGAGCAGATCTAAAATTTTTATAAAAATTTTGATCTAAATCTATCAATTATTCACCTAATTTATATTTCATACTAGGACATATATACGGTAATATATGAGGTTTAAGTTTTTTTATAGATTTACTTGTAATATAAATAGTAGGTTGATTTCTTTGCATATGAATATTACATTTTAGGTTGAACTTGTAGTTCAACAGACTTATTATAAAGGTACACTCTTGTACTGTAAAAAATTGAGTTTGAAGAGTTATACCTTTATTACTTTTAGTTCCATCTCCCATTATCCAATAAGCTAATGCTTCATATGTTAATATTTCATATAAATCTAAAGGTACTATTTTTTTACCCTCAAAATAAAACATTTCATACCATTTAGTAAAACAAGGATAAACTCTAGTAGCAAACATATAAATATAATATTTTTTACCATTTATATTTGTTCTTGAAATTCTAGGTAATGATCTACAATAATGAGAAAATTTATTAAAAATAAACCAAAAATATTCAAAATTTTTCTGTTTAAAAGCTAATAATGTCTTGTTTGATTTATTTTTATATAAATAACCATCTGATATTAAAACTCCAAATATCACAGAATCTAAATATTTAGGTATTTTACATATAGATCTTAATTTAGAACTAAAACCTTCATATTTTAAAGTTGAACCTAAATTAGAACCATAAATAACTAATTTTTTACATTCTTTATTAGTGTATGTGTTTATAATAGTATCCATATTTATTTTTGTACTACGAACGGTGTTATTACTTGAATGAATTAATCTGTGGGTCATATCTTTCTTGCTGAAGGAAAGTGACAACCATAATATAAATTGTCTAGAAGGTAATAAATAAGATGAAGAAATAAATATATAATCATAAGTTCCTGAAAAAGAATACAATATTAATATAGCTAATAACATTAATAATGATCCTGCTAATGTCATTAAAAAAAATTGATAAGTAGCATATATTCTAGTTAATTCTTCTTTTTCTTTTCCTTTTTTATAACCTTGTTTATCACTACCAAATAAACCAATTAATAAAAACATAGGTATAAGAGATGCTTCAAAAAATATATAAAATATTAATATATCTAATATTACAAATACACCTATTAATATACTTTCTAATAATAATAATGATATTATAAAATATTTTATATTTTTTTCTATATTCCAACCACCTAATATTGATATTACTATTATAAATGTTGTTAATAATATAAATAATAAAGATATACCGTCTACACCTGCTGTTATAGTATCAGTTAATCTTATTAAAAATTGTGATTGACTACAACTATAATCAAATTTATTCCACATTATAATAGATACAATAAAGTTTATCATAGCTGTAGTTAAACCTATTTCTTTTATTTTTTTTTTATTTGTTACTTGTAGACAAATAATTGAACCTATTATAGGTATTAATAATAATAATGTTATCATTTTTTTTTTTTATTTTTTTTTTTTCTTTTATTAAAATTTCTTACTTTTTTTTATCTTCTTAATTTTTATTTCCTATCTTTTTTTCACTCGTTGAAGGATTTGAACCTACAATAGACGATTTAGAAGATCGATGCTTTATCCAATTAAGCTAAACGAGTTAAGTTAGTTCTAATTATTTTTTTTTAGGCGAATAATGGGAATTGAACCCATATTAACAATGCCACAAATTGTAGTTCTACCTTTAAACTATATTCGCCTTATAACACTCTATGGGACTTGAACCCATATAAATAATTTCGAAGATTATAACTTTAACCAATTAAGCTAAGAGTGTTTATAAATAAATCAGGGAAAAAAGGACTTGAACCTTTAAAACCAGTTTTGGAGACTAGCATTTTACCAATTAAATTATTTCCCTACTTAAATTTTTATTTAAATTATAAAATATAATTAATTATATTTTAGAGAATTATATTTATTAAATATCTATAATATTTAATAAACCTTTACTTAATTCATAAATAAATCCTACAGTTAATACAAATATAAATATTGTACCTATCCAAAAACCAAATAAAGAAATATTATATAAAACAGAAGCAAAAGGAAATAAAAATATTACTTCTATATCAAATATTAAAAATAATATAGCTACTAAATAAAATTGTATATTAAATTTTTCTCTGGCTGTTCCTATTGTATCCATACCACATTCATATGGTGATAATTTTGAAAAATCTGGTTTATTTACAGGCACTATAAGATTTACTATTAATAAACCTATTAATATAACAGGTGCTAATATAATAAATAATAATAATGTATTCATATATATTTTTTTATATATATTTTTTTATTTTCTATTGACCATTTTTTTTTTTCGGATAGGCAAGAATCGAACTTACAATCTTCTAATCCCAAATTAGAGGCGTTACCTATTACGCTACTATCCGTTTACGGGCAGAATGGGATTTGAACCCATGGAAGTTATTCAAAACTTCTCTTCGTTTCAAGCGAAGTACCTTAAACCAACTCAGTCATCTACCCTTATTATAAGAATTAATTATTATAAAGTAAATTTAGGGAATAAAGTAGCATTAGTCTCTTTTAAAGTTACAGTTGTTATATTTATTGTACCTCTTAATCGATGATAAGCTACTAATATAGATAAAGCAATAGCTGATTCAGCAGCAGCTATTGATATTATATATAAACCAAATATTTGAGCTAACATATCGTCATGAAGAATAGAAAAATAAAGAACTAAAATAGTAACAGCTAATAATATAATTTCTATTGATATCAAAACTAAAAGATAATGTTTTCTATTTAAAATAATACCATAAATACCAATTAAAAATAATAATAAAGCAAATTTCATTTTTATATATTTTTTTTAGGAAAATATTAATTAAAAAAAATATAATCCTTTTGTTTTTTATTCGGAAAAAAGGGGATTCGAACCCCCAAGCATCTATTAAGATGCACAGTTTAGCAAACTATTGCCATACCATTAGGCGATTTTTCCTTTTTATTTAGCCGTAGCCCTGAATTGAACAGAGATCCGATCATTAACAGTGATTGGCTTTACCATTAAGCTACTACAGCTTTTATTATAATGCCTTGAGGATGACTCGAACATCCTACCCAGAATTTTCAGTTCCGTACTTTAACCTGTTAAGCTATCAAGGCAATAAATTTGAGAGTATTGGGACTTGAACCCAAATAACGCAGATTAAAAGTCTGTTACTCTACCAATTAAGTTATACTCCCTTTTAAATAAAAAAAATAATTAAAATATTTTTAATATTATATTAGATTAGAGAGTGAATTGAACACTCATAATCAGGTTTGCAGCCCGATACTTTACCGTTAAGATATCTAATCGATTTAATTTTTTTTATTATGAAATCGAATGGAATTGAACCATTATTTTTTGCTTATCAAGCAAACACTTTAACCTTTAAGTTACGATTCCTTTATTTTGATCTCAGTCCGATTCGAACGAACATTATGGCAGTGAAGGTGCCAGATCCTACCCTTAGATGATGAGATCTTATATTTTGCGAATGATTGAATTGAACAAATCTCCTTAAGATCATGAGTCTTATGTGCCACCATAACACTTATTCGCATTTTATTCTTTTTTTTGAGGAGAGTAAGATTTGAACTTACATCTTTCCTGTTATGAGCAGTAGGCTTTACCATTAAGCTATCTCCCCTTTTTTTTTTTTGAGAAGACTGGGATTTGAACCCAGAATGGTCGAAACCATCGCCTTTACAGGGCGATTGCAATACCAAAATGCTTTCTTCTCTTTATTACCTACTGAGGGACTTGAACCCTCACACACAAAGTGTAAACAATTTTAAGTCGTTTGAGTCTACCAATTTCTCCAAGTAGGTTATAATGATTAGCCAGATACGGAATTTGAATCCATATAAGGTAATTTACAAGATTACTGCTTTACCAATTAAGCTAATCTGGCAATTATTATTAATAAATAATATATATTAAATATTAAAAAATTTTTAAATTATATATAATAAAATAATTTTTTATTTTATTATATATAATATTTTATTTATTATATATAATAATATAATATATATATTAATATATATATTGGATGTAGTCAAGTTGGTAAGGCCTCGAAATTTGAATTCGATAATCGGGGGTTCAAGTCCCTCCATCCAATTAGGCGGAATAGTTTAAAGTAAAACATTCATCTCATACGTGAAGATTAAGGATTCATACCCTTTTCCGCTATAATAATAAAATATATATTTAAAATTTTATAATGAATTATTAAAAATAAAAAAAGAAATTATTTCTAATTTCTTTTATTTTTATAAAATTTATTAGAACGTTTAAGGACTAATAAATCCTCTTTATTTACTTTTCATAAAATTCTTGATAAAAAAATAGAGAAAAATCAAGTTTTTATACATTTTAAGTAGTATAAAAAATTTAACTTTCAGTATTAAAGATTAAAGATAATTTTATTATATTATTATAACAACTGATAATTTGAATATTGTTATTAAATGAGCCAATAGAATTACTACTTATAACATAAAATTCCTAAATATTATAAATATTGGAAGTGGTAGTATCATTAGAAACATTAGATATAAAATTTAATATGTTATTAAAAAATTCCTTATTAAAATCCTTTTAACTATTATTTAACTGAATGACGGTTGATCTATATAAACCATTTGTTAATTCATTCACTCAGTTAATTCTGAAATAAAATTATCCAATTTTAAATTATAAGTGATTAAATTTTCTGTAAAAAAATCTTTATCACAAGAGTTTAAAGATTCTGGTAAAAAAAATAAAGATTTTTTTATTTTGATCATTATAGTCTTCCAAAGAACTAAAATTAAAATAAATGTTATTATTACTTATATTCTTATTATTAATATAAATTTTACCAAAAATATTAATAAAATTAAAAATAAAATTTTATGATATAATGATTAAAAGTAAAGATTCTAATATATTATATATAAATAAATCTAATTTATTTAAAATATTTTAATTATATTTTAGAAATTTTATAATAAAAATATAATATATTAAAAACTATATTAAATAATCATAATATATAACATAATACTAACAATACAAAAAAGAATAAAGAAATAAAATATGAATATATTAAAAAAAAAAAAGAATACATACTTTATTAAAATCCTAAATAATATAATTATCAAATAAATTCATAGATAATAAGATTATAAATATTATAATTTATAAAATTTATGAAATAAAAAATAATTATATTATAAATAACTATAATATAAAATATAACATTCGAATATTTAGTTAATATATTAATTAAAAATTTATTAGAATTATATATTACTTTAGGTAATTCTGAAATATAATGAAAAGGTGTAGGAGAAGGTAAAATCCATTCTAAATAAGAAGCAGATTTAGATTTTTTATTTTCAATAGAAGTATTAAAAAATTCTATATTTTCCCAATAATCAACACCTAATAATTCAGTTTTAGTTAATTGATCATATAACATATATAAGAAAATTATTGTACTTAAAACTGATATTAATGATCCATATGATGAAATAACGTTCCATCCTAAAAATGCATCTGGATAGTCTGGGATTCTACGTGGCATCAATATGTTATCACAGGGTAATTTAAACCCTATTTCCGTATTTTTATATATACGGTTCAGACTATGTCATCTTTTCCCTTTTAAAAATTTATATACTTTTAATATATAGGAAAAGTTGGGCGCTTGTATCAAGATTATTGTTGATGTAACTCACTTGTTAGTCGTTGAACTTGTTTATTACCCGAAATTTATATATAAATTTCGATACATCGTAATAAAATTAGCTGCAAATTATCCTCTGTTATAGATAAGGGATTTTTTGCAATTCACCCAATTTAATCGCCATATAATAATTATTATTATACAGAGGGGCAATTTTAATGAAGTTTATTTCTACTGAATATTTTATTTTAAAAAGGTAATGTATTTTTAAGATATTTAGTTAAAGTATCTTTTCCCATTCTGAAATGTTTACTACAATTAACTGTAGTAAATTTATCTATAAAAGTCATATCTGGATAATTATAAACGTATACAAATTTTATTAATTTTAATCTAGTTTCTAAATTTTTCTTTTTTCCATACATTGGATTATTTTTACCTGTTTTATCTTTATACATTTGTTTAATAAATTCAGGTGATTTTTTTTTTTACCATACATTGGATTTAATTTTCCTAATCTATTTAATTTAAATTCTAACTTATGTTTATAACCTTTAGTCGATCCTACTACTATTTTTGATAAATTTAACAGTTGTAAAGAATAATCTCTGAATAATATGTTTAGATAATATTGTTCTCTAGAAAGTAAATATTCTTTTGATACTTCTTCTATATTTCCTAAATCTTCTAAAATACCTAATGCAAAATTATGAATACCATATTGGTTCATACTATTATGAATGGGATAATTTTTTTTTAATGCACTAGGCGTCCAATAATAAAATAATCTAGTTGAACCATTAGAAGCACAACCAATATATATTTTACCATTAATTAAATTTATCCATTGATAAATAATAGATTTTTTTCTATTTTCTAAACCTATTAAATTTTTATAATAATTAGGATTATCATATATTCTAATAGGTTTTTTTAACCATATAGGTTTCATTTTAGGACCATTAGGATAATTTTTATGTTTATACTTTCTAGGTATACATAAAGGAATAATATCATATAATATAATATATTGTATATTAATATCCATGTTAATTAGTTCTAAATTAAATAAATATAATATTACGGAAATATAAAATAAATATTTTAGTAGAAAAAACCTTCTTTTTTTACCCGATAAACCTAAGAAATGTTGCGATTTATTAAAAATATATACATTATTTAATAGATTTATTATAACTATAAATTAAACCATTATGTAAATTTTGATTTTCTAACAATTTTTTTAAAGTATAAAAATTAACTTTAGCATATTTCATTGTTTCATTTATGCTATTTAATTTACAAATTAACTTTTTTGTTTCACCATCAAAAACAAAAATTTCTTTACGATAAGAAACTACTTTAGTTATAATAATAAAATTTTTATACTCTCCTAAAGTTATAGCTTTTCTAGCTATTTTACCATCAATCTTTAAATATCTAGCCATTTCTCTTCCTGATTTAAATTCAAATACAAGTTCATTATCTGAATTATAAAGAGTAACATTTTTTCTAAGTTGCTGATGATCTATATGATCATCGGAATATTTATTAATATCTTCTATAGAAAGAGGTTCAAAAGAAAAAATTTTATTTTTAAAAATATATTTATTCTTAATACATTCTAATAATGTACCATAACTAATTTGTAAAGATTTAATAGCATAATTTATAGAACTATAAATTATTGATTTTTCATTTGGAAAATCAATATTATAAACAAAAATAAAAAAATTATAATTTTTTGTATCTGTTTCTAATTCTTCATTCATTTGTAAATTGTTCATCTACGATGAACGGTATTTTTAAATATATTAAATCCCTGTATAACAGAGAATCTTTTGGAAATAATTCAATAAATTCATTAATTTTTTTTATTGCTCCATCTAAATCTTTAATCCATAGTGGATTTATTCTAGGTACCACACTGAAATATTTATTTATTGTAGGTTTAAATTTTATTAAAGCATATTGTTCAAAAATTAATGAAAGTATAGGGGAAGTAATTTCTAAAAATTCTAAAGATAAATCTTCTGCAGAAATTTGATATATTTCTAATTCTCCATTAGATTGAGGTAAACGTATACCTTTTGTTAAATTAATATATTCTCCCATTCTTCTAGATAAATTTACTGAACTTCCTATATAAAAACGAGTAGTATCGGATCATATTTATATGATCGGTTAATTTATATACTCCAGATACCCCTAAAAAGGAATATTTGATTTCTTCATAACCTGATAACAAAGAATCAAATTTTTTTTTTATTTTTAGGTTTAT